AGAAAAGGGGTATATTTGAACCAATAGTATAATGACAAGGGTATATTTGGACTCAAATTATAACGAAAGGTACATCTAAATCTTTTCTAATAGTACAGAGATACATTAGGCTCTTTTTCGTTTTCTTGTCTTTTAGAGGAGGTTGGGGTGCCGGGGGAGGGGGGAATAAAACGGGTTAGGGGCATTGAGGTGGCAAGTCATGTGGCATCCACCTCATCAAAAGTCAGTACCATATAGGATTGGATGTCCATTTTGGACAAACTTAACATAAAAGGGGTATATTTAAACCAATAGTATAATGGCAAAGATATATTTGAACTCAAATTACAACGAAAGATACATTTAAATCTTTTCTAATAGTACAGAGATATATTAGCCTCTTTTCCGTTTTCTTGTCTTTAAGAGGAGGTTGGGGTGCAAGGGACAGGGTGGGAAGTTGTATGGGATCTATAAACCATGGCACTAAATGAAATGATTATATTTTGGGTGATCCAATGTCAAAGTTCTCAAATTAAGTTGTAATCTCTTTTACTCTTGGGCTTTGTGGGGTGTGGAAAATGGAATCCACTAAAATAGGAGGGAAAAGGACCAAATAATTAGGCTTACAATTTTTTTTTAAATGTTTAATTTGGATATCAAGTTTTCAGAAGAAGTTAAGGTACTCATTCTTTTTAGGTTTCTAAGAAAATGAAGTGTCTTGTTGTAGTGATATCTACTGTATGTGCATTATAATAGATCTATTGAAAAGAATGCTTAGTTCATTTGTCTTTCTCTAATTTTAACTGTAGTTTACCGTTGGTCACGTGCCCATGTGAGTGGGTTCTCTCACTGTAACATCAGTACAGTTTATTATTAAAAGAACAAATAAAAAACTACAATAATAATGTACTATTTGGAAGATCTACAAACATTCTTGCATTAACAAAGGAGCAATATAGAAATCAATGAACATTAATGGCTTTCAAGTGCATATTTCCTATATAGTATATATTCACGTCCTTACTCAGCCCATACCATATTGTTCTACAGAGGTTTGGTTTAAGTAATACAACTTGTGCTTTAAATTTTTTCTATGTTTTCTGGTGGAACAAATAGTAAGGAGAAAACTTCTTTTTTGGCTGGCTTTGTTGTTTTTTCCCATTTTGTCTTTTCTTTTACATGGACCCTATTAGAGTTCAGGGTGTGTGCAAGGACAAGAATGGAAATAGATCTTGTCTTGACATTAATGTCCAGGTTGGTACTCAAAAAGCAAATAGAAGCAATGGAATTCCTAGGGAATTGATCAGATCATGAGATATATAGAACAATTTTTTTGTACTAGTAATAATTTTCAACTCACTTACACAGCATTCACTACAACACTTTTGACTACTAGATAAACATTATAAGCTATATTCTAAAATGGGCTTCCTCTCCAAAATTTGTACTTTGATGGCTGTTAGTGCATGATATATTTCTCATTTCTAAGCCATCATGAAGCAATTTTAAGAACTCCTGAAGTTTCTGTATGTAACTTGATTAATAGCCTTGAGAATATCCAGCAGAGTTGAACCGAGAACGAACATTTTGTCGATCATAAACAGGATTTGCATGGTCCAAAGGCTTTATTATAACTGTGTCGCGCTGCCCTTGTTCTTGAACTGCTCCGAAAACTACTTCCTTTGTGTTCTCTGAGCTTTGCTCGTAGAATGTTTGAGGTCCGGATGAATGATATCGATGATGATGTAGCTGCTTCTGAGTTTGCTGTTGCTGTTGTTGAATGTCTGCATTCCATCCACCATAAAAAGCACGGCTTTGCTTCAGCTGTTGCATTTTTTCAGAATCTTTGGACATGAATGCATAAGTCTTTCGTGGAGTAGGTGTTCTGGTTTCAATGGATGGGGGCTCATCTTCTTTTGGTATTACAAAGCTGTCCTGTACTGGCCATGTGTGTTGCTGATACTGCTGCTGCTGTTGATATTGATGATGGCTCAATGGTGTACGTTTCAGCACAGGAAATACATTTCCTAAAACATCAGAAACTGAAGCTCCCGTACGCATGATTAGCTTCCCTAGAGATCCAAACATGCTTTCGTCTTGCTTCTCCTCCTCACCTTCAGTTGGAATTAGGGGAGGCCTAAATGATGACTTAGCTGGCTTCTGATATTGATTGGTGAAAATCGATGTGTTCTGATCCTTCAAGAAGACAGAAGAGATAGAAAGTAAATGAGATCACGTATGGGATGTTATATGACACAAGACACCATTTAATTAGAAGTCATAAGAAAGTCTGTCCAATAGACTTTTAACTTACTAATTAACAATAGTCATACGAACATCTTAGAACTCTTCCTCTAAAACTTGTTCAGTTCAGTGATTGTAACCAAGCAACATCGAAATAGGCAGGCCTAGAAGCAAAAGAAGGGTCTCTATATCCTTGATAATCTAAGTCCACGTTACAATGCTTAGAAAGTAATGTGACTTTAATCATAAGTGCAAGGAACTTGATACTCACTTCTTCAGGAGATACCATGGTACCAACCCTTCGCTGCAGCAACGCTAGCATGTAACCAAAGAAGCCAGCTGCTAAAAGCACAGCTATTCCTGTAGCAAAATTCGTGTTTCTTCCATAACATGTTCAACTGCAATATTTTGAACGAAGTAAAACAGGGCAAAGTTACTAACCTAGCGGAAAACCACTACCGTACTGATAAGCACAGTCTTCAAAATGGAGTTGAATCTCCCGAATTGCTTTATTTCCTCTGTCTATGACAAGCAGGGAACAACTGCTTCCCATATAGACCACATCGAAATCATTAGAGAATTTTGCATCTTCACTTGGTCCATCAACATGCCCGCCTCCACGGCTCCATTTACCACCGGCAATTGTTGTAATCCCTGGACAAGGAAATTTCATAGCATAAATTTGAAGAGCTTTCTAACTTCGCAGACTTTAGTCCCCACATGTTACTTTTTAAAACTAAGATACCAAAGGGAGATTTCAGAAATCACCCTATGTTATCAAAAGTCAGATGACCAGAAATTTTGGCGATTTTGAAAGACATGTACAATGACCACAAACAAGCCAAGCAATGCTACTCTATCATTTCCAGGGTCAAAGTTTAGTAAGTCACCTGCATCACTTATCTTCCTAATTGCCATGTTATCAGTATCTGCTATGTAGATATTCCCTCTGTCGTCAACAGTAAGACCCTTCGGATGGTTCATCCTTGCATCCCGTAATTTTCCATCAATATGTCCAGAGTATCCATCAGCTGATCCAGCCACCAATCTAGGTCTGGTGTCTGTCAATTTGCAGCAAACATGAAGAATCAAATGGTAAGAATCAAGCATCTTCTAAAAGCCAACTTGAAAAGCAAAGATAAGGTACTCTGGAGAACACAAATCTTCAGTACTGCACATCTTTAACAAAATTATAAGTACAAAGTATTGATGGAACAAACAGTCAGTGGACTACTCACAAAGTGAAAGCCACAAGGATTACTGTTATTAACAAGAACACAACACAATGCACCAGGCACATGTAGCCAAAATGTGCAAATTCTATGAGCTAAAACTCAGTACAATGTCCAGCTCAGATCATGGTTCTTTTACACTCATGTCAAACCTTGTTAAAATTCTGACACTGCCCAAATGAGAAAACCTAGTCTACATTTACACTAGGTGAGTGGGAGGCAGCAGGTACCCGGTAAAATATTCATGTATGCAAGCAGGCAAGCAGGCTCAGACAACATCGTCCCAAAAAAATTTTATACAGGCAAGAAAAAACTAAAACCAAAAGTTACACAAAAAAAAAGAACTCAAGATTGAAGCCACTAAACACCCAAAATAAAAAAGAACAAAGAACTTACACTGAGATAAAGAGGAAGAAATCTTGTAAAGATTACTATTAGCAGAATCCAAAATGAGGAGCTCTCCACTAGACATAATCTCTACAGAATAAGGCTCAATCCCAAGTTTGCTTCCATCAAACACTGTCTCCACACTATACCCACTCTCAAATTTCATCATTGGTCGCCCAGATATAACTGCAAAAAAAAAACACCATTAATCACCAAAAATCAATTTTCTTCAAATATTAAAAATTAAAGGGAAAAAACCAAAATGGGGTTGTAAAAATACAAGAATAACATCAAAGAGATCCATTATACATACCAGTTTTAGTACTGGATTTGATTGACCAAACCCATTTCATCAGCTTTGTAACAGCATTTGAAACAAACACATTCACGATTTCTGCTTACACAAAACAACAAGTAAAACAGATCAAGAATGGCAGAAGCTTCTAGAAATACATGCAGTAAAATTCAAGAATGTGTATATACACTTACTTGAAGGTGAAGAAGTAGCTGAAACTGAACAGAAAACAGTAAAAAGAAGCAGAAGGGTGAGAATCAAAGCTGAATTTTTTTTAACCATTTTTGCTAGTGAAAAAAATGCAAGAAAATGGTGGGAGTGAAACTACTGCATTGTGGGGGTATATGAAGCAAGAATAAAGAAACCCTAGCTCAAGAAATGAGTTCAGTGAATAAAAGGGTGTTAGAAAAGAAGTGGCTTTGTGGGTTTTTTTGATCTTTTAGCAGAAAAAGTGTTGGGGTTTTTGAGAGAGAGTGAGTGAGGGAAAAGCTGTGAATGAAAATAAAAAGATGAGATAGACAGGGGTGGGGTGGGGGGCAAAAGCGAAAAAGAAAGGGGTGGGCTCCACAGATGACCATTGGAAGAAAGGAGGAGCAAAAGAATCATATTTGATGAATCTATGATCATATTTGTACAATCTTTGTTTTCCTAATCTTTCATCATAAATCTTGTTTTTTACTACAAATTCAATTAATTAATTAGGAGTAGTAAATGCTTAACTATGCAATTTGAATTATGTCAATATTTATTTAATCACTACGATGGTTTTTTTCTTGTTGCTTGATTTTAGTTGGCACATCAATTAATTTCACGGGGTATTTGCTATATCGCCTAGTATTTTTTGTCCTCGCTAAAATTTAAAGCTAATATTTTATAATTTTCAACTCATTTCATCGATCATTAAACCACACCCTTAAATAAAATATTATGACTATGTGCATTTTGGTTTTAGATATGTAGTTGATGATTATTAAATGAATCTGAATTTTTAAGTTTAGTTGGAATAGACCACTATTAAATATGCTTAGAGAGAGGCAAAGGAATGTGCCAATTTAGTGATAACTGAATGTCATAAACATAAAAAAAAAAAAATGTTAATTTGGGACAATGCACATAAGAATATAGGTTTAATATAATTCGTGTAAATAATTTAGCTAGCGCAGCTTATGAAATGTTTGAACAATTTATAGTCATTTGAATTATTCGTAATTATACATTAACCGGTGATAAAAGGGGTAACATCTTATTCGACAATTTCATCAATTCCAAATTTGTTTTATTTTTCTATTGTTACACAACTATATAGCTATTGACGATAAGGGCAAGATTCGTGGGGCTATTGGGAAATGGGTGGTCCAATTTTGTCATTCTAAACATTGATTGTATCTATAAAAGTAGTTATTCTAGAACTGGCATACAACTTGCTAAGGCTATATTATTATTTTTTTCTCTTTTTTTTCAATGTTGTAATATAATTGAGAATGGTATTTTTAGAAGGAATGCAAGTAATTTGGAAGAACTTGTGTAGTGCTATTTTCCTTTGTTATTCATTTTGATAATAACTGGCCTTTGCCTATATTTGTCCCGGACTCCTCTTATGTAGGCACATGCCTATTTCAACTACTATAGTCGTACATAATCAATTGTATTCCGAAGTGAAATAAGAAAATTTATTAAGTCCATAGGTAGATCCAGGAATTAAAGGCGGAGGATATCACATTTTCTTTAACAGAAGGTGTAACTTAATTAACAAAAATTATTTATGAAAATTACTTTACTTTGTTTTGTATCCGAAAAGTCATCATATTTTGCACATTATTACTGAAAAGTCACTCAACATTTTTATGGCATATTAAACATAGTGTCATGGAGTAGGTTGAGTCATTGTTTAAATAGGTATTTTTTATTTCTTAAATGGTTGGGTTAAAAAAATATAAAAATAATATTTAATATATCCAAAAAGTGCTGAATTTTTAGTTACAATGTACAATGACTTTCCAATTGTAAAATAAAGTAAAGTGACTTTCACAAATAATTTTCATTAGTTCAGTGACATTCTGAAAGTTGGACTCCTTGTTTTGACTACAAAATTTATTAAAAAACATATATCTAGTTATGTTTGGTCTCTTCCGAATTTATTAAGGTCAACTTAATAGGTTGTTGATTTACAAATATGAAAATTACATCTTTTATATCAAAAAAACAAACAAAATCAACATTTTCAACAAGGAATCACATCTCTATTATTAAAAATATAAGTCAAAACAACATTTTCACTAGGGAAATGATATCATTTCTTATATATTAAAATAAATTTTTACAATATAAAATTAGTAGTAATTTATTTTATTTAGAGAATTGCACCCTCTCTATTAAAAAATGCACAAGAAGAATAACATCTTTGATAAGGGATTACACCAATTCAGAATAAGAAAAACAGAAAAAGAAAACATCTTCAATAGATAAATTACACCCCACAAGTAAATGCAAAATTAGATAAACAAAAATGTCCCAAAAATTAAACCATAATTTTCATGTTTTCTCTATGCAATGTGCACAAAATTTTTATTACAATTTAAAAGCAAAAAGGTCTAAACTGAATACGACCATAAAAAGCGCAAAAATTTACGATATAATAAATAAAAGAAATTATAAAAATTAAATTTGAACTCAACCCAAAATCATCATCGAGACCCTAGTTTTTAAGTTTTGGAAAAAGGAAACTCACATATTTGAGATTAAGAGCAATACTTTTATATTACATTCGGTGTTTACACCAAATCCTACTAATTTATCATGGTTAAGTGACAAATTAATTTGAGAATATATATATTAATTATGATTTAGTGTTAACCATGATTGTGAATACATTTGCCATATATTTATTGGATTGGTGTGCCAATAAGTATTTATCTTCGACCATGAGCCTTATACACAAGAAAAGCTTGCAAAACGCCTTTTCATCCATGATACCTTATCTAGTTTGAGACTACGGGTGGCAAGATTAAATATTTAACCATGTTTAAGAAATTTTTAGCATAATGGGTGTCATGCCACCCCACATTGAAGGGTGGATCTGCCAACTACTTATTACTTATTACACTATAACATAAGAAAATTAATTAAATATTTTGTTGGGAATCTTGTTAAACATAATTTATAGAGGAAGAAATGTAAATTCGTCAAGAAAATCCAATCTTATTAGTCAAATGTGTGGGCTGAAATAAAACCATCACCAAGCAAGAAGTTAGAAATGCGCCAATGCATACTTGCTTCTAGCTTCAAGTCGAACCTTGTTGGGTGCAAAATAATTTATAATCAATAAATATTAAATAAGACCTATATTAAGCAAATATGGAGTTTCCATAGACAGAAATCCCCAAGAAACAAACACTCAAAATATTGATCATATTTGCGTGACGCAAAGACAATCAAGAAATGCACAAAATTATAAGCATTCGTCATTTGGTCTTTATATTTGGTATATGATAGGTAAAATTAGTTTGTAGCATATGGAATTAGTGATTCTATTATTTAAATTGAAGTAAATTTTATGGGTAGTCATTCAACTTTGTGTTCATTACCCAAAAGTCATTTTTCTTTCTTTTGTTGCGTAAAAGTCATTCATCTTTGTGTTCATTACCCAAAAGTCACTATTCTTTCTTTTGTTACACAAATATCATTTTACTATGCTCTAGTTATCACAATAATCAGTTTAACCAAATTTTACAAACCTTTCACCTGAAAAGTCTATTATGCCCTTGACATTACCCATTTATGTAATACCTTCTATATTATATGTTATATAATATACTTTTACCCAAGTATTTTACTTATAATTAAAATAACTTAATATTATTTTATTTATTATTTTTATAATATATTCGTACATTTGATTTTTTCTTAATATTAATTTTCAAGATATATAAGTAGCATTATTATCAGTAACATTACCGTGAAAAAATCTCAAGTCCACGTTCTTAATCATGCTTAATAAAATATGTTTAATAAAAATTAAAAAATCAAAGCTCATTAATTTATCAGCCAAGCCATACCCATTATTTAATAAATAAAATACCCATATTTAGCAAAATAACATATCAGATTAATACTTTTAAATAAATAATATTTATAGATAAAGCTTTAAAAAATTAAATATTAAACACAAATATTTTTAATTTAAATTTTATTGACTATAAAAAATATTATTTTTTAAACAAATCTGTTTTTATTATTTTAAATAAATATTAAAAAATAAATATATTTTTTTATCATTTTTATATCTAAAATATGTTCATGTTTGAATGTGATTAAACAAATTGAGTGCCATGGAAAAATTAAATGTATGGATATTTTATAAAAATAATAAATAAAATAATTTAAAGTTATTTTAATTATAAGTAAAAATACCTAGGTAAAAATATATTATATACTATATAATATAGAAGGTATTACATAAGTGAGAGTATTAATGTCAAGGACATAATAAACTTTTCAAGTAAAAATATTATAAAATCTGGCCAAAGTGACTTTTGTGATAAATATAATAAAGTAAAATAATTTTAGTGTAACAGAAGAAAGAAAAATGACTTTTGATTAATGAACACAAAGTTGAATAATTTTTACGTAACAAAAAGAAGAAAAGTGACTTTTGCGTAATGAACACAAAGTTGAATAACCATTGAGATGAGTTTATTCCAAATTTAGTTGGGATAAAATTACGGTATAATTAATCTCGGAATTATAGTGTTACTTTTATCTCTATGGAATAGTAGGATAGCAAACCCGAAATAATTAATCATGGGATCTAACTTGTTTATTAGCCAAACGATCGCTTAGGCTCTTAATTGTTGATTGAATAGCAGAGGCCAATTGCCAGTGTATAATGGTTAGTGTGCACACTGTCTATTCACATCGTTTTCAAATCTATTTGCATTTCTTTCTTTTGTATGCATATTCATCATGTGATATTCTGATGTCATATCAGTTATTTATCCCAAACTTTAGAAAAGTCTACTAACTTTAGCTAATAAACTAATTATTTTCTTTTCATTTTTTAAATATTAGATTTTTGCGCTAATATTGCAACCTTTTTCAAATATACTTTGGCTTCATTAAATATTTCAGCTCTTTGAACTTGGAAGTGATTCCTCAAAAATCAAAATCCGTCGCTAACAAGGAAAATAAAGGAACAGTGCTACTTCAGCAAAAAACCTATTTGGTTTATTGAGATTTTTACCTAAATATGCTGCATATGAACCTTTATTACTCTCCCTAATCAAGTTTTAACTTAATTACATAGCCATATACAATTACTAATTATATATAAATTAATTTTAAATGAGTATCTCTTTATATTAGTAATTGAATAAGGAATCAGTTATTTCTCATACATGTTCTCTCTCCCCTGCGCGCTCCCTCTCTCTCTCTCTCCTACTCTCNTAATCGTTTTACTATAGAGTTTTAATTTAGCAATTTCCTTTCATGTTGCACAAT